GTAGCATCAGTTTGGCGCCCCTTATATGCTGCGCCCGGGAGCAGATGTCCCCCCTTGCCTCACCCTAGCTACGCCACTGCCCTCCCCCTACACTACTCCTCTTTCTTTTCCTTGCAGATTGTTATCAGAAGTCGAGTAAAAAGATGTTTCTACATCTTTTTGATACTCGAGAATAAAATATGATTTGTGTGTGTGGTAGATCAGGCTGTGGGTGTCATCCGATGGCGCACTAACTCGTTATCTGGATCTAGATCTCGATCTTGATATACGGGTATTTTTTCTTCTTTTTCAGTAATTTGATTTGATTGTATGGCAATAACGAAAATGTAAACATGGAAGCCAAACTATCATGGCGGCCTCCGTGAATGTACGTGGGACGATTGTTCAATATGTGGTAGTACGAGGCGATTTATTGAAATCATGTAAATGGCCAGTTGGAGCTATAATCGCACAAGCATGCCATGCTACGACAGCTGTACTTCACATGTTTTATGACGATGAATATACTCAAGCTTACCTTAAAGATTTAGATCGTATGCATAAAATTGTTTTAGAAGTAAGTAGTGTGACTTATTGGTTAAATCTTTTGATTAGATTAAATCTAGTAACAAATAAGTATTTTGCATGCTTATATTGTAATTGTCGTTTATATTTGTGTTTCCCAGATTATTAGCAGTGTGAACCAACATGCCTTTCAAAATTGATGAATTGCCATGTTATTCCTATGTGTATTTGCAGTTACATTTTTAATGTAACCATATGATTCTCGTTATATCTATTAGTTTGTTTTGTAAATTTTACCATATGTAAATATATATTTTAATCTGTATATAATTTAGGTAAATCAATGATAATTCTCCTTTACAGCTATTTATCAAGTCAAAATACATTAATTCTGCATATTAAATCTCGTATCAAGTAAAGTACTTTGATTATTAAAATGACAAAAATAATGAGTATCATTTTGAAAACTGATAAGGTCTTTTCTAATGATATTGGAAATCCTTTTTCTAAAACTGTGTATGAATGATTGAGAGTGTAAGTCGCAAATCTCTGAGAAATGCACCCTAGAATTGATCTGTGATAGTAGAACGTGTTTTCATTCTTTTCATTAAAGGTACAGTGTGCCAAAAAAAAGGGGGGATGGGGGACAGTTCCATATCTCCCATTGTACCGGGCCGATTGATGAAATTTTAATTGCGTGTTTCATGTCTCGAAAGCGTGACTTATGATATATATTTTAGATTTTGGTTAGAGTAGATTGAAGGCTGCCCCTTGGATAATCCTAATTGTTGTTGCATTTATCACCAAATTGTTTCATAAGGTAACCTGAGTAGTTGATGTTATGGAAATCCTAATATGATGTAATTGGTTGTGTGATTGCGGTGAATTTGAATGATTGGATAGATTTTGGATAAGAAATACATTGTTATTTTGTGGTTTACATGGTAAAATGGCTGAATGTTGTAAGATTAATTTGAAATTTTGGTACAATTTTGAACGAAAGGGAAAAAAACATTATTGATTGGTGCGTAAATGAAAGTTTACTTAGTTGTCATTATAAGTATCCTGTTTATAGGAAGGAAATGCATATGGTCGGAGTCGGCGGATACCTGCATACAGAAGATATTTTTTACTGTTTTTGTGGAATTTGTGGCAACGCTGATACAGATTCTAGTTAGATAATTTTAGGAAGTTTGGGCTCTAACGAATTTTGTTTGACTGAAGACAGAGAAATTGTAATAAGGTAAATGGATATTTCTTGTGCAGTGCTAGATGATTATTTTTTGTTATTCCTTGTTGATTTAAAATTTAGTTTATTGAGATTATATATTTTTTGTTGGCTGCTCCTTTGACTTTTCAAGTGAATATAGATCAATGTGTACATGAACAAAGTCAAGGGAGTGTGCAATTCTTTGTTCTTTTAAGTGAAAGGTCAATGTATACATGGACAGTGAGTTTGTGCAATTCTTTGAATTGTTATTTTGGATTTGTGCAGCGGCGATTTTTGGTGCAAAAATCCCCACTACACAAAGTAACAAGTCAAATAATAGCACAAAATCAGTGCCCATGTATTGTCAATGGGCATCCAATAATATATTTTTACTTAGATTTCTATATAGCATTGTTCTAATATAGGTATTTTGACACAAAGTAGGACTTTCTGAAATGTTTTTCCATATTTCGATTCTGCGACTCAATAATTCTTCGACTCTACGATCCCTAAATGCTAAATTTTGTAAAATTTGGTGCAAAATTTGTGGAGAAATTCAGAAATTTAACTTGGCGCTTTTTTTTTTTTTTTTTTTTTCCAGTTTGCACCAAGGATATTCATTGGCAAACTTCTTAATTTATAGCTACCTGTTTTCCTTTTCTTTTTTCATTGCGGACGAGTGGGGAAAGGTCATTTTTCATACTTTCAAATAATTTTAAGAAATTGCGTAAACCATATTTGGTGTTATTATTGCTTATAACAAATATGCCAAATTTCAAAATGTGCCAATAGGTAAATTCATATGTCTTAGAAGAAAATTTTGAATAAAAAAACTCTAATTTTTTGCGATATGAAAGTCTATGTCTAGTCTATCTGAAAGTATGTTATATGAAAGTAATGTCTGAAATACATGTATTTTAGATGATGATAAATTTTTATAGGCTATTTTTATACAAGTTTTTCAAAAAATTTATAAAAATTATTATTTATAAAATATTTATAAAAATAAATCATAATAAATAGGCGAATTTTGTTTGGATGAACCTATTCGAAATGTGAAAGGAAGAATCAAATAAGTTTAATGAAAAAGGAGATTAACAAATATATACCATTGAGGAGCTAAAATTTTGACAGCTAATTTTTTTTAAATAGTTAAAAGTATATTAGAGACCTTTGACGATTTTTGGTGGTACATGGATATCGAGTTTGTGCAATGATTTGTATTTTGCGCCGCACCCAAGCCAAAATACAAGACAAAGAATTACACAAAACTCGGCATCCATGTACATATCGACCTATTTTTACTTTAAAAAAATTCCAGAATTGCACAAAAATTGTATTGCAAACTCCATTGACTTTATCCATGTACACAACGACCTATTTTTCACTTGAAAAAAAATCAGAGAATTGGCCAAACTATGCTTTACGCACTCCGTTGAGTTTGTCCATGTACACTTTGATATATTTTCACTTAAAAAGTTAAAGGAGCACCCAATTCCACAGTAGAGGCAAACAAAAAATACATAATCTCAATAAACTACATTGATAGTTCTCCATTTCACTGGCACAAATCTCGCCAAGCAGACTTTATTGGCGACAATACACAGTATACACATAAAAACATTTTCACTAATGTTAGTTCTAAGAAATTTTTATTTTGAAGGCGTGAACATTTTAATACCGCTTAAAATTTTGTAAAAAGACATTAATTTAAGAATTTACTATGCTTTCATGGTACAACATCCTGATTTGCAGTTTCTTATCACGTGACCCCAAGTGATCTCATCTCATGTAAACTATGCTACAAAAATCTAATTCTCTCAGTAATTATCTACATTAATTTCAAGTTAAATCTTAATTTGGAATACAAGTTTAAATGCAAGAATTATTTCAATTCTATGAATAGTTTACTCAGAAATTTATGTAAAACCACAGTGTTTTACTTTCTTAGTGCATTGTCATTAGAATGAATGAATTTAACCCTTGACTTTGCCTTTTCTATATTTATGCTTTCGGGTGAGTGGTGTGATTGCATCTTAATTGACTTAATTACCACAAATAGCCTTAGGGTATAAAATTCAACTATCTGGTAAAAATTCTATGTAATTGTATGCCAGTATCGAAAGAAACAATCAATCTGATAAGAAATGGCTTTGACTTGTTTTGAAAATGAGGCGTAAAAGGTTACTAGTGAAGATAATTTGTTTAGTATCAGTCGTACCATTTTCGGTGATTTTATCGCTTGCGCCGGCAAAATGGAAAAGTACCACTACATTTTAAATCAAACAATAAAGTAACATAAAAAAGGAAAAACCTGTTATGCATTTAAGTACTACACAAAGCAAATATCCACTTACCTTATTTACGGATTTCCCTGTCTTCAAATAAAATTCCTTAACAACATCCAAAAACTTCCTAAAATTATCTGTACTAGAATTCGTATATCGGCATCGTCACATAAATTCACAAGAATATACTACGTAGTTCCGGACTGTCCGGGAAACGGCTACTAGGTAAACCTCCATTTACACACCAGTCAATTAATGCACTTTTCCCCTTTCATTCTAAATCGTACGGAAACTTTAAAGTAATCTTACTACATGCAGCTATTGTACCTTCTAAACAATGAAACAAGCAATGTACTTTCTAAGCAACACACACCACAAAAGTCCTTGCAAAACATCCTATGATTCAAAATTTGTAGCTTTTTGGTGGCTATATACAGTATAGAAAGAAGAGTTTCCAATTCTGCAAGATCATTCCACTGTCTTTCTGTTAGTGAAACATTAGGGTTATCTACACCTAACATTCTCGTTTCCTGTTAATTCTTCAGATTGTAGCTTTTTGTGGCTATATACGATGTTGAAAGAAGGATTTCCAGTTCTGCCAGATCATTCCACAGTCTTTCTGTTAGTGAAATATTAGGGTTATTTACTTCTTCTGAAAAAGTTCTTAATCCTAACAACCACTATATCATCAAATGTGTACTTCTCATTGCATTGCTCATTTTCCTACTCGCTTCTTAAGAATGGCATCAATTTTGGGAGTTCTTGTTGCTTACCTAAATTCGCCAATGAGATTAGAAACTAAATGAATCAGTTTAATCAATAATGGCAAATATCATGTCCATCCTGCTCCCTAATATTTATTTACTAATATGTCAATAAAATAGAAAATAACTACGATTAATGAATATAGTTTAAATAAAAATATTATCTCAGTTTGTCATTAATTTTTTTTTAATTCACTTTAATTTCATTTCAAATTCAAACTGTTCTACAAAAACTGAAGTCGGAGTCGACGTGTTTTTTAGCGACTCCAACTCCACAGCCCTGGTTGTCAGGATGATTTGGTGCTAATTATGGATAAACTTTATGTAAAAACACATTTATAACATCTGGGTTTCCATTTGATGTAACCCCACTTAATTCCTGGTGAGTTACATTTTAATTTTATTAACAAGGTTATAAATTAACTGTTAGAGCTCTATTTTTTCTTGCATTTTGGAGGGGGAAAAATCATTAAAATTTGGGATCTGACTTCTACAAAGCAGCAAGCAATGGATTAATTTTAAAGTTATGTTACCATCAAAACAGCATGTATTAATGGAACAGGATATGGTCAGCTGAATATAGCGTGCAAAACAATTATAGATTGTTATGTTTGCCTGTGAAAAGTATGTGCTCATAGTGTTTTAAAGAGAGCTTCCGGTAAAATCGGATAGCTAACAAATAGTAGAAACTGATGAAAGCTTTCTTAAAAAGTGCAGAAATGAAGCGATTTGAATACTGATTGTTTTTTAAATAAAGAGGGAGAGATTGCTTCAGAATTCTGCAGGAATAATTTGGTGCAACTTTGGCAGGAGATCTGTCAGTTTTCATAGTTCTATAATACTAAGTTCATGGTCAGTGGGTTAATATGTACTTACTGTTTTGTTAATTTAATTGTTATTTAAGTTAGGATATGAATCTTCCCTCCTAAAAATTGCTGAGATTCAAATTGTTTTCAAAATTTATAGGAATTAAAGATTCAGATGTCATCCTTTCTTCCTAAATATTATACTGTTATAGTGTTTGATTAGGACATTTGTTGTTTACATATCACCATGTGTTTACTTCATAAAGGATTATCTCATTTCTACTTACGTTTTTACTGCACTTTTTTTAATGTCATGGTCTCCTATTATTTCAGTTTAAATATTTGAAGATATTATCAGGTTCAGTGTTTCTCCTTACTTGCTTGGGGAACATTTAAATGACCTGATGGCGGAACAGGGAGCTTACTAAAGCTATGTTCAATAAATGTGGGAAGTAGACAGGATACACAGAAAGGGTATACGAAACCCTTTATTTTTCTCTCTTTACAATGATTTCTGGACTTCGGAATACAGAGACCAACCACTTGGGTCTGAACGTAAGAATATAAAAATATTAACTAAATTCTAACTAAACTAACTTCAGATTAATAAACAAGTGGCTGTTTGAAGATTGACCGTATATTAACAGAAAGGCCGTATGTAGTACAGAGAACTGTTAACACTATGATACGTTTAAAATTATCAAGAGGATTAAACCTCTGGCCTTGAAGGCAACCAGCAACCGAGTAAAACTGCTAAGGTAAGCGGCCTGCTTCTACTAACTCCTTCCTCTCCCTCTTGCTTGGCAAAAAGCCACAACTTAAGTACTTGGCATTCGCAAGACAAATTTGCATAAAATAAATTAAAGCTTTTAATTCTGGCCGGAAGTAGAAAATAAGAAGTGATAGTAAAGATTTAAAATAAAATAAACGTTAGTAAAACAAACTTAAGATCCTTACAATATGTTCATGGATTTTTTTTCATGTCTATGCACTTTTCTAGCCTTTATAATTATTCAAATTTATCTTTCTTTATTTACTAATACTTCGAACTGTATTACATTTTCCCCCCAGGCTTCAGATGAAACAAGTTTATGGAAGCTATCAAATGAATTGGAGAACAGTGATATTCATCATAAAGTATGGATTGAACAACCTGAGAACTTTCCGACTTGCATTGCTTGTAAGCCATACCCAAAAGATGAAGTACAAAAATATTTTAAACAGTTTAAATTATTTAAATAAAGTATTTTGTGTTAAAGAGTATCTTGTGCTGATTTTTTATATAGTTTAGGATTTAATCATACTGCACTTAAAATTTCATCTTGAACTCATAGAAGTGAATTCTTTTAACCATGTAAAATTTAGTGAGCTTTCATTTAATTAATTGAATTTTAATATTTGTTCTAATAATTAAAATCAGCTTATTTTCTCAAAAGGGGGGCGTTCACATTAATTTAAAATTTTAAAATTATATTTAAAATTTTTCTTTATGCTTTGACAGCTGTGTTTGTTATTATTAATTAGTCAAGTAATTTATTTGTTGTTAACATTTTATATTAGTCTAAAAGTTTTTACTGAATTATGAATGTTTTGATATTATAATGATCTTGTATCTTATACATTTTCACATGTAAAAGAAAGTGGGATTAGTATAATTATGAGGTTTTTAATATCAGCATTTTCAAGTTCCTACCATTAATTTCTCTCTTATTTATGTAGTTGACTTTCCAATGTACTTTAATATATTCTGGTAAGTCTTAAAATAAAGATTCTTCATTTATTAAATGATACATTGAGGGAAATGATTCAGTGATTAATAATATATGTTTATCCATGAAATATGTTGAATATTTTGTATTGTACATCAACTACCATACTAAGCTATCTCAGTATGAATATGTTTTACAATATCAATTAAAGTTGTAATTGCAATAAATTTTGTAAGATAACAGATATTGAGATGTGAACTCAGCCACACACTCACCAGCCCAGCTGGCAATAATTTCTTTCTTTTATTCTTGAAATTTCTTACAGTGTTTATGTAGCTTGTGTTGATATTTCTTGTTTTGTAGCCAGAAACATTATTTTTAATATCTGAAATCTTTCAGTTTTACTCTAAATTACATATAAAAGAATACCAAAATCATTTCATCAATAAGATTTTACAGTAGCTGGTGTAAAATCTAAGCTAGTGTATTGTGTGCACCACTTTAGATGTGTCAGAACATGTTCTTCAGTGAGCATTTGATACTTTTGAGGGTCATATGGCATATGTTAGAAAATTAACATAATGTAAGTTTAGGCTGTTCTGTGTGTTGTTCTTGTTATTAAATGGTGATGTTTTCTTATGCTTTAAGAAGTCATTTAAGTCATGATTTTGTCTGCTCTCTGAAAAAGTAAAATACTCGTGTACTTTTCAATACATAGATAACTTTCTTTGTATTATTTCATTGAGGAAATTAATCATATTTGCAATTTGTTACTGCAAGTTTTGGATTTCATCCAGTAGAAAGGTCAGTGTTCTTAGAATGTGCATACTCAAAAACAGATAAATTCTGTGTGTGGGGGGGGGAATGACCAAAGTTTTGTTAATAGAAGCTGCATTAATAAAATAATGCAACAAATTTCTGAGGAAAAGTAATTTTTTTATAATTAAAACTTTTAATCACTTGTAGAAATTTTTTACATCTTAGCAGTTACTTCTGCCAAATATATGATTAAAATTCTACAAAAATTTCAAATCAACAATGAAAATGTATTGTTTTCTGGGTCAAATATATTTAAAGAGATTATCTTTCAATTTTCAGTTTCCTTCTTTTTTTTTTCCTTGAAAAGCAATGTATGATACTGCATGTAAAAAACTGCTTTTGCAGTTTGTAGTTAAAGTGTCAGAAAATTTGGATAAAATTATAAACTGATGTTACTTCTGATTTCTTAAAATAATGTCCTAATTCCTGAAAAAAAAAAAAAAAAAAAAGGAGATTGCTTTCTTTATATACAATATAAATACCATTTTTTTAAATTGTCTTCTAGTATATTGGAGGGACAGGTATTCTAAAGTGAGTTGAGTAATTTAAGATGATGATCATACAGATATGTAAATTCATGCATTTATCATTAGGGCATAAACAAAATACTGAGTATAGCTTATTATTAAAATTAATTTTTTCTCCCATTTTATGATTAGAAAAGATTCTAATATCGTCTAATAATTCCATTTTGGGCATTATATTCAAAATCATATTAATTTGTTAACTCTGGTGAAATATTAACATAATGTTTCAACGTACTAATGTGATTATGGCAGAGGCCTCAAGGACTATCTGCCTAAGGGGATGGAGGACTTTCTAAGGGAAACTGGCTCATATACATGTTACACATGGGGAAAATCATCAAAATACCCATGCAGCCAGCCTGTTCACAGGATTCGAATCTTAGACCGAATTACCAGTGTTCTGCAACTTTACCACTCAGCCACTGGTGGGTCCATTTCAGCAGATATTAAGTATTTTGATGTGCTGTGATTTAGTGCAAATCAATTAGTTTAAAAGGGTGTTGTTCCCTTAAATAATGATCATTAGTAATTTCTTATCAATTTGTTGTAATGTGGGAATCATGGATTAAAGGGATAATCAAAATATTAAAGGTTTACTGTACTTTTTAATTCTAATTTTTTGTATTTTAAATTATTAACTCATTGAATATTCCCTTAACATTAATTTGCATTTTATTACATCCAAATTTCTTGGTATTTAAGAAAGTGAATTTTATTCCATACTACAAGTTCATAGAGATCTCTTTAACCGACTGGGCCTGATGAAGAGGAAAATTTGAATTTTATTGAAATAAATAACACATTATACAGCAATATAAACTGCCCAAGGAAGGAAAACAGATTTGGCTAAATTCTTTTTACTTGAGGAGGAATACTAAAGATACCAAAAATTGCTCATAGAGTCTAATTAATGAGCCATACTCTCACTAGCAAAGCATTTTCAGAAGCTAAGCTGCACCTGGCATTTGATGAAGAAGCTCCAGATTAGCAACAAAAATTGTTACAAAAACCCTGTAAGAGGATTTCTGTCCATGAAAATGCCCATGCAGCCAGTTTGAGGTATTTTTAAAATTTTATAAACTGGCTGAAAAGATATATAAACTAAACAGAAAGAATAGCTATGAATTCAAAATTAAATAAAACAAGCAATAAATTAAACAAAATCATTGTACCAAATAAATAAATAAATAAATAATAATATTGCAGAGCATTACAAAAATATATAAAGCAATTACAAAATAAATACAGCATATAAAAACTGGATTGTAAATTGTGAATAACAAAATGCAAAACAAACTCTAATCTAATTATCATAATGAAGCATGTATCTGTTAAGCAGGCTTACTATAAAATCTAAATCCTTTAAACTCAAGAAATAATTCTGAGTTAGTACTGAAACTATTGCAACTGTGATGTTACATTAAAAAATATTCCCAACCTTTGTCCTTTTTGTTTTCTTCTTCTTCTTTTTTTTTTTTACTGTAATCTTACATTACTAAACTGTTGTAAAATTTCCACGTACAGTTAGTGACACTTTTTCACCCTCCATGAAACCAAAAGGCCAACATTTTAAAAATATTTTTATATTATTAACTGTTTCATATATAATATTACAGTAAAAATTGCCATCTTTTATTAAGAAGGAATCAATTTTAATGTATTAAGCTTTCAAAATACAATTTATAGAAATATTTTGCATCATCACAGTTATGATGATTTAGTAATAATGTAATTTGTAACACTGTATTATATTTTAGGGCTAAAGTAAATTTACAATGATTAACTTCAGTTAACAATGCCAAGTTTCTTTATTCTTTCTTTTTGGGATTGCACTGTAATTTAATTTTATGTTTTCTCAGATTTAATTACCAGCTTTCATTGATTTAAATGAATGAATATTTAAATCCACTTCATGCATATTTTACTTTTTCAGTAAAGCATCTATTTTTCTTTTCCTTTTGGGCATGATTCCCATTCTGCATGTTATGAAAACTCTTAACAATTGCAGAAATTATTACACTTTTCAAGATGGAAAATTTGAAAAATCAGTTGTGCCATAACCTGAGATTCAACAAGAGATCTGAATCCTAGGTCAATTTGCTAACAACTCACATCAGCAAAGGACTGGGGGGAGGGGAATAAAACAATAGTTTACATTCTTTCCCAAAAGACATGAAACTTCGTCAACCAAATCACAGTGATGAAGAAATATTATCCACCACATGTATTAAAGGGATTGGTTAAATTTATTATTATTATTATTATTATATTATTATTTTTTTTTTTTTATTTTATTTGGGCATTACTATAGAGATTATTAGTCGTTTTGGTGCAGAAGAAAAAATGAGAATTCAATTGTATTGTTGCTAACATTCAAACCATAAGTCTTCCAATTGGTACCAGATTGTTTGTGAGAACCACATTGTCTTTTTATAGTGCCATTTTCAAGTGACCCTATCCCCTTCCTTGAGAGTGGCGTGAAAAGTGCAGTATCACTATAGATTGCAACTTCGTGTATTATGTAATCAACATGTATATATGTAATGTAAAAGATGATATATGTATGTATATACACGCAAAATGAAATAAAACAGTAAAATTCAGTAAAAACCGTAAAAACCATATTCAGTTGGGAATAAACCATATATATATATATATAGGAATAGTTATAGTGGCCAAATGAAAGAAATGAGGAGGGGAGGCAAAATATGCCGAAACCAAGTGTGAAAATAAAATTTACATCTTTCGCTGCTTCGTTATCGGGGGGGGGGGGGGCTTGGCGCAATGAAAGAAGTAAATTAATAAAACATCCTGTTTCTGAATTGACAAAGAAACAAAGTTGAAAATTTTAAAATAATACAGGCCGTATTTGTGTTTATCTATTTATTTAGATAAATGTAAATATATGTAATAGGATGACTTGGAGAAAGCTGCAATGGATTGGTGTTTATTTTGATGTTTCTTTGCGTTATAATAACCGAGGCCTTTACTGCATAGTTAAAAAAATGACACTGGAAGACAGACGTAGCCGTAAAATCCTTCTTCAGATAGGTGGCCTAGACATTGTAAATTCTTTGATCTAGTTAAAGTGTAATATCTACTTGTATAGCTTTTGGTATGACAGCTGAAGTACGTGCAGGAACCAGATAAGAGAAGGTTTAAAAGAACCCTTTATTAAAACTCTGTAAAATTCACAATGCCTTGACTT